TATATATATATATATATATATATATATATATATATATATATATATATATATGCCACGTTAAACCCACATGGTCGCAATAGCATTTGATTTGTTTTTGAAACTATTTTGTATTCTCATTATTATTGATTAATATATTATTATCATTAACAAAGTTAATATTTTAAATTTTTTGTTGAAAGATTAGATATTTTATACACAAATTATTAATTAAAAAAAAATCTGATTAGAATTATATTAAAAATAATCTTAATTGTAAAAAATATGTTATTATATATATATATTAATTTTGAAGTGCCAGATGAACAGTTTTTGCATCTAATTGGCTGGAATTTTTTTTTTGTTTTTTTTCTTCGTTTGTTGACTTTTTTGGCTTAATAAATATTTTATATTAGAAGTGATAGTGGATTAAAAAACATGTCAGTGAATTACACGTGTTTCTCTACTGTCTGCCTGGTGTCTCTCCATCTCCATACTGATGGCTAACGTGTACTGTGTAAGCCAATAAGAATGAAATTGCTGTCACTACGTGTTACCTACTCATACAACCCACCGACTTCATTCCTTGGAAGTATACGAAACCCACCACTTATCACCCGGATCCACTCATCTTCCTATCTGCTATACTTCCCGATCATTCACCGCTCACGTTATCTTCCCTCCTGCTCCACCGTCTCTGCATCTACAAAATTCCCACCGCCTCTATTTCTTTGTCGTGTATTGCAACAAGGCTGATCGGAGGGAGTTATCGCCCGACAAAGGAGATGTGGCGGGGTAAAGATTGTCGACTTTGTTTACAGTCGAAAAAGAGGGGTTTTACTCTGTCGGGATTTCTAAATATGCCACGCCACCGGCGCTACCAGAGCAACCATCAAAACCCAACATAGGTACTCTTTTACATATTATTTATGCTCAACTGTCGATATTTTTCCAAATTCTACTGATTTACTATTTTTTCACTAAACTTGAATACTACTTTGCCATTCCCTTCCAAAGTTAACAAGGTATGGTCAAAGAAATTGATGTTCTTGTGCGAAAACCCTAACTTATACATATTGCATGCTACCTGTTTGATAAAAGTCCTCAACGAATAAACGGTCTGACGTACTACCACTCTTTCCTTCCCACTCTTAGAAAAAGAATTGTTGGTTCCAAATGTAGTGTCAAATGATGCAATGTCATCAATTTCAGGACTCACAGTGGCATATGCTCTTGATTATAGTTCTCGGAAGGTGGAACTCATTTTGTTGGTGTATTTCATGAACTAATAACCTTGTAATTCTTCTTAATTTGTTTCAGTTATTAAGAAATCATCCCAAACAGTTAATCTATCCAGTTTAGAACTTATCCATAGACCATAATACACACTACACAAAAACCAAGTATGACCCCTGTTTCATCTAAGCAGTACACAGGTAAATTTAT